GCATGGATGGACTTCTAGGGAAAAGCTCTAAAGGCTCTGGCCAAAATCCAAAAATCCCAACCATTAGCCACAAGCCTATGAATACTAATAATAAAATTTGACCATAGCTTGTCTTTATCCTCAGGTAATCTCCACAGCCATATCCCTAACAAAGCAGCATTCCTCTGCTCGATGTTCCCTAACCCTATTCCACCAAACTTCTTACTTCTGCTAACCACTTCCCACCTTACTCTATGGTCCTCCTCACCTAGCTCCCAAAGAAAGTCTCTCATCAATTTTTCAATTTTTTTGCTAACCCCTTAAGGAATCCTAAACACTTAAATACACCGACAAGTTAGCAAGAGTAAACCTAATAATTGTAATTCTTCCCCCCATAAATAGTAACTCTTCTTCCAAGATGCCAACTTCTTTGTAAGCCTTTCAACCATAGGATTCCAAAAATTACTTTTCCTCGGATTATCCCTCGACGGTAACTCCAAATAGGTCAAAGCCATTAAGCCACTTCACAACCCAAAACTCGAGCACTCTCATTCAAATTTATACCCACAAGACAGCATTTATCAAAATTAACTTTCAGGTTAGACATATGCTCAAAAACTTTGATCAAATTCCCTACCCACTCAAGGTTACCACCTTCACAAAACAAAATAGTATCACCAACAAACTACGAGTAAGAGGCACCTCATCCCTACCTACCCTCCAACCCCTCACCAAGTTCCTATTATAAGCTCTACTAACAAGTCTTCCAAGCACATCAGCAATCAATATGAATAAAAAGGGTGACAAGGGATCCCCTTGTCTAAGACCTCTTAACACTAGAAAGTGGTCCACCATAGATCCATTCTACGAAATTGAATAATGACAAGTCTTCATGCACCCTAAGATCAATTTGCACCATCTATCTGTTAGATAGTTTATGTATGCCCTTAGCTTCAATCTGATTTGATGTACTTGTTATTTAGTGGAAATAAATAAAGTGCATGTTTGATTCATGTTGTTTGGTTTAATTCTGTGTAAAACCCTAAAACTGGACATTTATAGAGATTCA